TCCTATCCTATCCTATCCTATCCTATCCTATCCTATCCTATCCTATCCTATCCTGTCCCATCCTATTCCATTCCATTCTACCCTATTCTGTTCCGTCCCATCCCACCCCATTCCGTTCCATTCTATCCTGTTCTAAATTCCCCTCCGTTCTAATTCCATTCAATTTCATCCTATCCTATCCTACCCCATCCTACCCTACCCCATCCTAAATCTCACACCATGGGCACGCACAGCACAGCTGCAATTCTTTTTTAACCCTGCAGAACATCTCTCCATCCACAGTCCCAGCAGAAGACGAGCTGTTTGCAGGCAGGCAGCTCCCTTTGGGCTATGGAAAATAATACGGTATGAGAATATCACGTAGCTCTTGTTTCTCTAAATAGTTTATTTTTTCCACTGCCCCACAATGGCCCTGGTATTGCCTCTCTTCCTATTACTCTTTGTGTCATATGCAGTTAATTATTCATCCCCTTGTTGCACTGCTGCTCTGCTCCCACCTCCTGGTGCAAATGGCTTCAGCTCCAAACTTGGGCTGCAACCAAAGAGGATTCAGCAGGAATGAGCTCCTTGCACAGCACAAGCCACGTGCCAAATGCAAGAAATTTAGGCTGTGGCTGCTCAGATTAATGACCTGCATGGCTCCTGGCCCTGGCTCTGGTCTGGGTGTTGATGCTGCCAGCAGGGGGGGGTCAGCTGCAGCTGTGGTTCTGCTATGGGGACAGATACCCACAACCCAGAGGTGCCCCATCTCTGTGCCACCATCACAAGGGAGCAGTGCTGGATCTGCCACCAGCACAGCTGCACTTACAGCTATGGAGCAGGAAAAGACAAGGGAAAACAAAAAGTATCTCTGTGATCCTTTCTTCATTCCCTCACAGAGCAACACGGGTCTGCAGGTCAGACTTCCCTCTCAGATGCTTGGAGCCAAGGAGGAGCAGCTGGGGGGGGGGCACAGTGCTTCCACACCCTGCTGGGTCTCCTCCACTCTCCCACCCCCAGGCTCTGCCCAGCCACTTCCATCCTATTACAGAGCTATTCCTGGCCATGCCAAGCACCTTAGCCCTGTGCTGCTGCCTCCTTCCCAGAGCCACCACACCTCCTGTCCCTCTTTTAGAGCATCAAAACCTCAATACCCCACTTGGCTGTGTCACCAAGCCCTACAGCTTGGCTAATGCACTGCTGTACCTTCAGGCAAATCACAGTGATTTCTGACCCCTCTGGGCTTCAGCGAGCAGACACTGCTGACCTCTATAGACCAAAAACCCCTGCACACCACTGCCTCTATTTCTGAATTCTTTCCTCGTTATTTTATGACAATTGCCCACCCAGCACAGCTCTGCCATTCATCTCAACCTCGGTGTGCCGTGCTGCCACGGTAATCTCAGCTCTTTCATAATTAACAGGGCTAAACACTGGATGGAAATAGCATCCTCTCTATTAGCTATGCACAGAGTGGGTTAGAAATCATGTTGGGGGAGTGGGGGGTGATCTGCAGCCTTGCTGTGCTGTTCCCTTGCCATTGTGCCCCAAGCATGGGCACCAAGTTTGCTTCTTCCTGCATCCATCACTACACCTTTCTCTTCACTGGGAATACACCAGCTGCTCTCCTTGCTGTCTTTCCAAAGCTGGGTTCATTTTGGCTGCATCCTGCTGCTGGCAGACAAAGCTTTGCTTTCACACCTGGTGGAGGGGAGTGAAGATCCTACGGAGGAATTGGGACTTTGTCCTCAAACCCAGGTGAGATGTGACCCATGAAAGAAAGGGGATTTTGTCCCTAAGTTCAGGTGGGATGTGGCACCTGCTAGCTAAAGGAAGGGACCAGGAGCTGGATGTGCTGCAGCGTGCTGGAATGGTTAACAGAGGGGATCTGGGGTTGTTCCCCAGCTCTGGAAGCTCATTCTCTAAATGCAGTTGTATAATCAATAAATGTGAGGGTCTAGGAGAGGTGCAACCAGGCTCCACTCCTTCCAACAACGCAGGTGAATTACCTTCACCTGTGCTCCCATGGCTGACTTATTGCTTGCCTCCGAGGTTCAGGCTGTGATTCAGCAGTTCCCATACAGCATCCATGGGCTGGGATGTGTGGCTGAGCATCAGCATCCCTCATCTGACCTCAGTGTGCACTGTGCTCACCCCTGTCTGGGTTATCAGCAGGTTCAGCATCTGATGAGCAATTAATAAGGTGGGCAAATACCTGCTGACTTGTCCCTTAGAGCAACAGATGACCAGCTCAAATGAGAAACTTCTGTTGAGATAAATCAGTGTCACTGGTCTCTGAATCCTTCCTGCTCTTCCAGAGGAAAACTTGAACACAGGAGAGGAAGAGGTGGCATCATTGGGTGGCATCAAAGCGATCTGAACTTTGCCAGGTTCACTCCTGTGCTTCTCAACTCAACTCCAGGCTTGGAATTCAGCACATCCCTGCCTTCTGCAACCCCACGAGGAGCACAAACTCCAGCAGCAGCCGGGAGGGATCTGCGCTCTGCAAACCCAATACACCAGGAGCAGATCCACCCTCATCTCTATGGCTCTGTACCCCCCCCAACCATCCCATAATAATAATCCCTACCTTATCAGCCAGGCTCTCACTGTCCTCAGTGAGCAGATAGACGGCCCCGCTCTCAGCCAGCAGGATGGCAGTGTCAGTGGTGGAGGACGACCTGGGCCGACCCTGATGCTGATGCAGGATGGCGGTGAGGCTGCTGTCCTGGGGAGCTTTTCGGATGAGGTGTGGGCTGCCCTTCTGGGGGTCCAAGGAGCCACTCTTGGCCCTCCGGCTTCCACTGTGAAGGCTGGTGCCACGCTTGATGGAGGGACGGGAACGGATCTGCTGCAGCACCCGGTTGAAGGCGGTGGGACGCGCTGGGAGGTCGTGCAGGGAAACGGCGTAGGAGACGCGGTGCATCTCAGGGGAGCGCTCCTTCTCGTCGGGGGATTCGTGGTCA